GCCGAGCCCATTCAGCAATATTTATTAAACAATTTACTGTGTCCTTTGGCTGGCTGGCCTCTGTGGGGAATTCATAAGAACCAGAAGTAATCCCTGCCCATAGTGGGTGAACTTAAAATTTTCTTAGGGAAGAGCAGCCTTATACACTGATAATCTGAAGCTAGTATTGAAAGTGATAAGTACTTTAGGAGTGTTGTAAACTTTGCACAGAGGGAGAGATTAAATTCAGCACTGGGAATTAGGGAAGGCCTGACTGGACTTTGAAGGATGGGTAGAAATGGACCTGTAGAAACACAGGAGGGGCTTAAAATCTTTTCCAGATCATGATAAAATAACTTTAACAAAGTTTCCATTTAATGATGGCAACAATTAGAAATGTAGAATTACAGAATGATAAAGGACCCTAGAGAAACAATATACTTATTTTTCAAATGAGGAAACTGCGGCCTAGAAGGGAAAATGATTTACCTGCAATCAAACAGCTAGGACTGGGTCTAGACCCTTTTCTTACATTTCAGTTTTCTTTGTAATAACTTCAGTTATTACAGTCTTTATAAACTCATAAGGTAAAAAGTTGCTTCTTCTAAAGATGACAAAATCATGAAAAAATCCCTGGAATCTTCTTGTTTCCAGTCTCATGCAGTTCTGCATTAAGATTCCTTTTGAGTAAAAAATGCGTGGCCACAGTCCAAAGTTAATGTGTGTCCAAAAGGAGACGTGGAACAAAGAGCAGTTTGTAATTAAATCCTAAACTCAGAGCTGCACAGAAGCTGGAAAAAATAAAAAGCTTGAATACATTTGGTTTGATCATGTTAATGAAATGTTTCAGTCTACAGAGATATTTGGCTTTAAAAAAAAGTTGGTTGGGGTGGGTGCGGTGGCTCATGCCTGTAATCCTAACACTCTAGGAGGCTGAGGCAGGAGGATTGCTTGAGCTTAGGCATTTAAGACCAGCCTAAGCAAGAGTGAGACCTTGTCTCTATTAAAAACAGAAAAAATTAGCTGGGTGTTGTGCTGGGTGCCGTTAGTCCTAGCTACTTGGGAGGCTGAGACAGGAGGATCACCAGAGCCTGGGAGTCTGAGGTTGCTGTGAGCAAGGCTGATGCCCAGGCACTCTAGCCTAGGCAACAGAGTGAGATTCTGTATTAAAAAAAAAAAAAATTGTTTATTGAAAAGCCTATAAATCTCAGTTTCCACTTTCCTTCTAGATTTGTGACATTATTTCTAAATGGGAACAGGCTTCCAAAGAACAGCAGCCTGGCAAATGTGAAGGTACAAGAACTGTTCGTCTGACTTACAAGAACAGGTGTGTAATAACTGCATCCAAACGCCAGAGTGGGAGTACGGTGTGTGTTCAAATCATGCGGAACAGTTTAATTTCCTACCGAATAGCTTTGAAAGTTTATACACTTGTTTTATACAAATAATTCTTTCTATAGGATAAAAATTGTCACATCAAATGTTTCTAATTCTGAGCTCTTAACCTTATGAACAGTTATATTTTATACAAATATGCATTTTAACAAAGATCAGGGAAAAGTAGCTTCTCTTTTAAGGTAGATGATACAAAGATGAATTTTTTACTTTCAAAATTTCTTTTAACAGTATTATTACATTTTTTCATGAAAACCGAATACTTAAATGCCTTACTATTTATCTATAGTAAGCAGATATATTTATGTTTATCTCAGTCTTTTGAAAGTGATATATTCATATCTATTCCTTCTCATTCTCTCATATTCTTTCTCTCTCAGTATGAAGTGAGCTTCAACTCTCAGCCAATCACCTAGTTCACGGCTATGAGTAAAATAGTAATAGACACCAACCCAGTCCCTGATCTTTTGGAATTAAGTTTGGTTGGGAAGAAGGTTGTTCACCAGATACTCACTCTAAGGCAGTGGTTCTCAACCTTCCTAATGCTGCAACCCTTAAATACAGTTCCTGTGGGTCGTGACCCACAGGTTGAGAACTGCTGCTCTAAGGAATATATATGATGATACACTAAGTTCTCTGAAGGAAAAGAGTGGTACTGTGATGAGGAGCTTTACCTAGACTGGAGACATTGGGAGGCTTCTTTGAGGAAATGATGCTTATGCCAAGTTCAGAGGAAGATGGCAGTGGGAACATCACGATAGGTAGTAAAGGATATTTCAAGGCCCGTAGAAGGTGGCTGCTCGGTTTGTTTTAGCAATTGAGACAACGCCAGTGGCACTGGAGCATACGAGTATACCTTCATAAGGATAAATTTCAACACACTTTGGGATATGGTCAGAGAACAGATTTTCTTTCTTTCCTTTTTCAAAAAAAATTTTTTTCTTTTCTCTATTAGCAGAGGTAGTATTTAATAAACATGCTTCACTGACCAATTCACATTAACTATACCAAAATAAAGGGATTTTGATAGTTTTATGGGAAGCTGATACCCTATAAATTACGAGATCTATAAATGTCAGACCAAAAGCCTGGTGGAATTATTAGAGCAGTACTGAATTCATTCAGAGGCCTCCTTTTGGAAAATGTGTATAGACCTAAAATTGGAATTCGAGAAGCAAAGACAATATATGACATAAAGTAAGTGATAATCTTTGATCCAGTTCGGTATTTCTTTTTCCAATAATCTATCTCATGGAAATACCCACATAAATGGTGGCGTATTTCAGCATATTCCAGTATCTTCTTTGCCAAATTTTTCGTAACAGTGAAAAATTAGGAGGGAAAAAATATATGTTTATTAACAGGGGAACAGTTAAATAAATGCGGTGCATTCATATTTTGTACTCTTCCCTCATACACTTAGCCACTAAAGACCTCCCACTATCTGAACAAACACCACTGATTTTAGAAATTGGTAGTTGGGAACCTTGGAGCTTCTTTATTTAGGTGCTCATGGGCTGTGATGATTTACCAGAGTTTGAGTACCAAAAAGGTAACAATTCAACTTTGGTATCTAAGGTTTTAAAGTTACATGTTCCTAGAGATAAACAAAATTGCTTAAATAATGGACATCTAATAGGTTCCACTCCTGGAGGAACCTGTTTCCATTGATGGTTGTCTTCATCATGGCCCTTGGTGACTGGCGAGAACAGCAGACTGGAAGAGTTGGACCTTCCACGTGACTATTATAATTCTGTTTACTGCTGGAGCAGTAGCTCTCAAAGTGTGGGCCCTACACCGGCAGCCACAGGACCACATGGAAGCATGTTAGAAATGCAAAGCATTGGGCCTCTCTTCAGGCCCATTGAGTCAGAACACTTGGGGCTGAAGTCCAGGAGTTTGGGTTTTGACAGATCTCCACATAAGTTTTATACATGCTGAGTCCTTGTGAGAAGGACTGACCTACAGCTCCTCATCTCCACCTCTGCATTTTGCCTGCTTTGTGGAAGGAGCCAGCTTCGGGACCTACCCTGCCTTAGATATTTATGTAGAACAGATTCTTAGTTTTGTTGGAACCAAATGGAGGGACTTCTGTTTCTGAAACTATTGCTAATAATCCATAGCTTATTAATGTTTACTGTATACTAACTCTGATTATGATGGCTATGATTGGGATTGAATGAAATTTAGTCTGGGTATGGTGTTCTGTGCCTGTAATCCTAGCACTTTGGGAAGCTAAGTTTGGAGTATTGCTTGAGGCCAGGAGTTTGAGACCAGCCTAAGCAACAAGGCAAGATCCTTTTCTACACAAAAGAGAAAAATTATCTGGGTGTGGGAGCGCATGCTGGTAGTCCCAGCTCCTTGGGAGGCTGAGGCAAGAGGTTGCGTTAACCCCGGAGATGAAGGTTGCAGTGAACTTCGATGATGCCTGTGTACTCTACCCTTGACTACAGAGTAAGAACCTGTCTCAAAAAAAAAAAAGAAAAAAGGAAAATGTGGCTGAAATGGAGAAAGATGATCTGAAAGATAGATAAGGATAATGCTGCAAGTCTAGCAAACATCATGGGAAAGGACAATGAAAGTTAAGAGTAACACATGAAGAAGATTGCCTTGTTAAAAATAAAGCCTCATGACAGTATCTTTGACATCAGAAAAACAACTCAATTGAAAGGTTTAATTTTTAATAGAAGTCTGAAATGGCTGGATAGCCACAGCTATGAGAAAATACTGTTTCTAAATATGGTCATGCTTTGCATCTGTGTATAAATAGCTTAGGCAATGAGCCCTAATTTTCAGTGACACAGTTAGGAGGGGAGCTGGCTGTGACCTGTCACGCAGCCCAGGAATTGAATACCTATTCCCTTTTTCATGGAATTTTAAGTGTATATTTACCAACTTGTGGAATTTTAATTATTTAGATTCAGAGGCTAACGATCTAATTAGTAGGCTTTGAACTTGGTCTCATAGATGATATTTGGAAACTAACATTTAAATTCTTTTCATATTTAAAGTTTTTATTTAATTTGATTTCTTTTCTTTTCTTTTTTTTTTGAGACAGAGTCTCAATATGTCACCCTGGGTTGAGTGCCATGGTGTTGCACCTAACAGCAGCAACCTCATACTCTTGGGCTTAAGCAATTCTTTTGCCTCAGCCTCCCAAGTAGCTGGGACTACAGGCACCCGCTGCAATGCCCGGCTATTTTTTTTTTTTTTTT